CATACAACAATCAGTTGTAAAGTGAAGGTGAAAGGAAAAAGGTGCCATCGTTTTGAAATAAATATCTGCTGGAAGAATAAATTATTACAAGAGTGTGAAAGTTGTCATGTTTCCCCAGTGTAGCATTTTCCATTTAGAAAATTCCTTGTTATTGTCAACTTCCAGAAAGCCTTGATATTAATTAAAACAATCAGACCTGTGGCCTGGGAACTAGTGAAGTCACCATTTGCTAATTTAGTGACCACTGCCTTGTCACCTTGGTGGACAATTGCTGCCTGTTTGTCACCAGTAATTTTCTATTATGCATACACCTACACTCACAGTGTATGTGTATATATTATACAATAAATGCCTATTTATAGCTATATATTTATTGATAACTACTTTTTACTATGTAAACACTTGAAATATTGCATTTCACATGTTCAGTTCCTAATTCACTATCCCTATCCTAACTTGTTTTTAAACAGACATCAGAAAATGTCTGCAGCTTTCACACACAGATATTTACTCTACATTGACCTGCAATTCCACTGCTGGGTAGGAAACTCCACCCTTCACCACTGGGAAATCAGAGATATGCCTCAGATTATCATAATGTGGTAGAAACATCCGCCTACTTGTCTTAATTGATCCGCGCCTTATGGTCTGAGCTTTCAGTTTAATGAGCTCTATCCAGCTGTTGCATCTGTCTGCAAAGGAACTGTAATCAATTGACGTTGCTGAAAACACAGACAGAAAAACAAAAGAAAAATAACAAAGAAAAAATATGGATGATGTCTCTTGCTCATCTCAATGCTCCTTCTGATGAAGCAATTATTTGGGTTTGAGAAAGGACTTAACATCCTTTCCACATCTGTTTAAAGGAAGTTTCAGTATTGGTTTGGAAACTCGTTTTCCAAAACAGTGTACTAGGTTCTGGTGATGTGAACCAAGCTGTGAACTAAGTGCATGACTGGCTTTCATCACTGGAAAAACAAATGAAATCATTAACACTTTATTCTAGCTTTTAAAAATCTGCTGTTAATTCACTACTTCTGTTACCTTAAAGTTATTTTGGCACTGTTTAATCTTAATTTGTATTCCGATTTTTTCACAAGGAGCTTCATGTCATGAACTAAAGTTCCTGGATGTCATTACTGATCACATGCCATAACTTTAACCTGAAAAGTAGTTTTGGGTTAAGGGAAGAGTCATGAGCTGAAACAAACTGTTAATTTTTAAATGAAAAAGTATTTTTTTTGAAACGCTGTTCCCACACCTCCTGCCAAAAAGCAATTATCTTTACAATGCAAACTAAAGGGCTGTTTTGGTTGGTTTACAAGAACTCAAAACTGGTCTTAAGAACAATTTCTAAGTATCCAAGAGCCCTTTAGTAACTGATCATTAGCTTATTACCCTCTAAAACCTCAAAGGAATACAAATTAAAATTAAAGTAAAACAAAGGGTTAAACAGCCAAAAGTACTTTGTCTAGAAACTATCTTTGGCAGATATTGTGATAAACAGACTGTTATTGCTAATGTTACTACCTTTCTTTTGTAATTTCTTAAAAATATATTCTAATATTAATAAGCCACATCAGAGCATGCATTCCTAGGCAATTAGTAAACACTTCCTGGATGGAAGAAGGAACACCTGAAGTGTGCATCAATAGTCCAAGATTGCTCACCCTGTTGTGGCTTAGGGCTAAATTAAGCAAACTCACCTCTCTGTGCAGCTGGTATACCTGTGTGGGAACTTGCACTCTCCAGGACCTCTAATAAGACAAAATGAATTTCACTTAGGTAATGTATGAACAACATTAACTAGGTAAATATGCAGTTGAAAGGATCATTTTTCTTCTTCTAAAGGGACTTCCTATATTACACTGACAGAAAATAAAATCTACTGGTACTTTAAGGTTTCATTACAAACATGACCCTCATACATAATTTATACCACTATGTGGATTAGATGAATGCACTTTGGGAGCACACTGTAAACCAATACAAAACCATTATCTTTATTATTACATCTGTGCCCTATGATATAAATAGTAGTTACCACTTAGAATTCAAAAGTTGAATTCATTTATAGAAGCGTGTTTTGAAAAACAGATGAAAAAAGAATAATCTAATTATGGATGAATAAAACTATGAAAATAGTAGAGAATGATTTAGGAAGAGACACTGAATTAACTTATCTGTTGTTTGAATATAAAAACAGCTAGAAAGAAATATAGCAGTCTACATATGCAAAGAAGCAGTTTAATAATCAACCTAATTTGATGTCTATATGCACAAAGAATATACTTACAAAGGAACTAAGTATAGAGGAGAGAGCAAAATTCAAATTCACAGAATCATAGAAAAGTAGGGTTGGAATGGACCTCAGAAGATGGTTTAGTCCAATCCCCTGCTCAAGGCAGGATCACCTCTTTGTATGTCTAACCTATTCTTAAAACAGCACAAATGGTTCTCTTGCACAGCTACCAAACACATGGCCCCAGTACACCAAGAACACCCTAACTTGACAACACTAAGGCAGGGAGACAAGGGCACTGTCAATGTTCTGCCACTACAAGGACAGGAAGTTAACTGTTAATATACTCAAGAAAGTCAAGGCAGAGGATCACTGCCCCTGCTGCAGAAGCAGGAACACCCCCCACCCCATACTCCACACCAATCTGACTGTGGGATAAAATTCCTTCCTAATCCCAAATGTAGAGATCAGTGTGATCTGAGCAGAGAAGGAAGATCCTCTAGCTTAGTTGCGCTCAACATTTTTTATACTGCAGACTGGCAAACTAATTCAAAGAATTTCGGTGGACCAGGTAGAGAAACAATCTGATTTATATATTTAAATTTAATTTGTATGGGGTGGGGGAGGGGGTTGCGAGGATTGGATCGGGTTGGAGCACTGTAGCTGCCAGCACCAGGGAAGTAGGTCTGTGTGAAGTTTTGGTCACTGATTTGACTCGGCCCAATTCGGCGGCTGAATCTCTGAATCCAAATTGAATCAGAAGACCCTTTAATCTCTCTGAATCGAATCTGAACCCTCCAAATTGATATGGAGAGATTCAGAAAGATTCGATGATTCAGACATGGACACAGCTTTAAAATGGTTTTTCTATATACCTCAAGGTACCAAGCGGCTCATAAATGCTGCGATGGTGGGGTACCTGAACTGGGGAAGGAAATTTATCACCCTTTCTAGGGACTCAACTGTGGCTATGCTTCACACCACAATCTACCTCCAACTTGTAAGTGTTCTATCCCTAAAGCAGACTGGAAGGCAATGACACTGAGAATCATATATCTGCCTTTCAGTTTGCTCACTGCTCCTAAGAAAATAGTACCTCAATGCATATTTATACCTAACGTACCATAATTTCCACAGCCACCTCCTAAGGCATGCACTTAGCACCTTAATAGTGAACAGGTCAGGCTGGGGTTAATTTTTAGCTCAATGACGACTGCTCTTCTTCCCATACCGATACCCATGATCTTGGTATGCAGTACAAACAAGAAAGTGAACAGTTTTTGCTCTTTTACTTCACCATACGACTGTAAAAACTGGGGCAGAAGGTCATCATAAACATTTAAATTGTTATTCTAAAGAAACACAAACAGATTACTGTCCGTCTTGTCTTCCTCTTAAATCTCAAACTTATGACTTGTACACTTTTTGCCACAATAAAGCCTAGACCCTTATAGGTGGTTGTAGTTTAGACTGATCACAGCAAATTGAGAGCACTGAAATATCTATTCCAAATAAGTTTGCTGTTAGACTTGTCCAAGTTAAATAACTGCAAGCAGCTTTCCTCATTACTGCAACAGAGGAACAAACATCATACATCACGCACTCTTGTTTTACAGACAGACATATCTGAGAGATGTCAGCTGTACAAAGTACTGGAGGAAGATCTAAACAAGCAGAGGAACCTAATCAGTTTTAGTGAATGTCACCACAGGTCTTGATATACCATGTAGTGGTGGAACATGCATCATCTCGTGGAGAATGTATGCCCCACAGGATAAAAACAGAGACAAAATGGGAGGAGTTTTAACATTCCCAAGCAAAATCCCATGTCCATCCAAGAAGAGTGCCTGTGGGCAGCAAGTGAAACCAGGTTGGGTTAAGTCACAAGTTATCTCAGTTTCTACCAAGATGGAGAAATTGATAAGAGCAAGTCAAAAGGGAAGAGAAGCATTTTTAAATATTCAACGTAATTTTTTTGTACTTTAAAAGATTAGAAATATCTTGAAAGTTTTACACAGAATCAGTGGGGCTGGTAATATTTGTCTTCTAATTTCCCTAGATTAAACACAGCTAATTCTTTCAGCAGGTGCTGATGGAAACTCCACTCATTTCCTTTGCTTCACTCCCTGATGGCAAATGTTTCAGTAATCTTGATGACTTTTTGGAGGCACTGACCACTCATAATGAATCATTCCGCATTCCCCTGATTAACATGACATTTCCAAACAAGTATAAATTCAGTGGGGCTCTAAGGCTGAATTTGGATACTAATGCAAGTTCAATCTAGAAAAGAAAGCTCTACAAGATATACACCAATAGGTAACTGATAACCATGCCGAGCCCCTATTACAAAGTGATAACCAAACTTAAGGAGCAAAACTTGACAAAATTTCTATAAATACTTCAGAATGGTCAGTGTTCTTTATTACTAACAGCGCTAAGGTTTAAACCAGCCGACATGTTTACTTTGAAGTAAATTACTTGTACTCTGGGCTAAAAGTGGGAGAGATACACAGCAAAGATTTTCACTATCTTAAGTCAGCCCTTAGAAAATGGGAAGAAATTATACACTGGCTTAACTTACACCAGTGACTACTTGTGGATCTGCTTCCCTAGTCAACTGTGAAGTAGCCATTTGCTCAATGCAAACTTAATCTACTGGCTAAGTGTTGTAAGACTGCATATTATGGGCAACCAACTTAAAAGGTGGTCATTTGTCCACCCTTCAGGGTAGATTACTTTGTACAAATCATGTGATCTATCCACAGCCCCAGTGAACCTGAGCAGGAAGGGTGCTCTATGACCATAAAGCAAAACTATCAGGACCTATCTGTCCATGAGACAACATACTGATGCCTCAAAATAAAAACATTAAAAAACCCAACTTAAGAACTGGGGAATTTTCTGCTTGACTTGTGTAGAAGGGCACAAGTGTAAATACCGTGCATAAAACGTATCTTCTAAAAATGATCTCACTATAAAGAATAGATGTCAGATTGAATACTGCTGCCTTGTGGAACTTCCAGAGGGAAATAGCTCAGAAAATTTCAATGGCATGATAAAAGTAGCTTGATTCAACAGTCTCTTGTGATAAGGATATTTTCTTTGCTTAGTGAAGAATCTCTGAAATTGCTACCAACTGAGAAAGTTACTGACAGGGCCATAATGACTTTGGCTATGTGGGCCTCCTTGGTCTTTCCATCATTGTAGATTGAAAATGAGATGTACTGTAAACTTTCATATGATAGTGAGATCAGCTGGTATTTATTAGTTAAGGCAGAACTGTCTTTTTAAATAACAGTGGAGTAATTTGCTAAAAAACAAAAGTCAAATCTTAGCTAGTAGCCCCTGCAGCCTAAAAATATTAGATCTTGTTCTCCAGGCTGAGGGTAGTAATGACTGTGCTTCGTACCAAGTTCAAGACATCATTCTCTCCTTACGAAAAGTAAAGAAGTGTTTTGACAAGGAAATGTTAAGCTTATTTGAAGATCAAGATGAAAATGTTAACTTGAAGTCAGAGATGGTCAATTACAGTAGCGTTTAAAAAATATATTTAAAAACTTAAAATACAACAAAGCTTGAAAACTACCACTTGGGAACAACATCCATTAAATGTTCTCAATAAACAATTCTCAATATTAATTTGTAGAACCCAGCCTTAAATTTGCTATGAAGCTAGCTACACATCTGGGGATGAATATAGTTCAAAATATTATAACAATTTCCAAAACTCATCACTATATTCCACAGCACTCTCAAGAGGACTCAGACTAGCTGAATCCTTCCAGTGAGGTTTGTTACTAAAATTATCTCACTTGGTTGGCATGGTCTCGGATTAAAGCAGGGGTGGGCAATTATTTTGGGCAGAGGGCTGCTTACTGAGTTTTGGCAACCCATCGAGGGCTGAATGACAGGCAGCCAGGGGCACATAAATATTAATTTTCTAAATTTTTTAGGGGCCCTGCGGGCCGGATAGAATGGCCTGGTGGGCTACATTCAGCCCCCGGGCCGTATTTTGCCCACCCCTGAATTAAAGAGTGGAAATACAACATAGGGGTCAGCCACGTACTCAGCCCAAGAGGTGGGTCAGATAGAAAAGTTGGAACCTAATTCACCCCGTCTCCTTTCAACTGCTACAGCAGCCCTGGCATTCTAGTTATTCCTAGTATGGAGTATTGCTATATAACAAAAGTAGCAGTGCAAGCAAAAGCAAAAAAATGATGATCTGCAACTGTTAGCCCAGCTAAACCGAGAAAGAATTTAATTGGACAGGGGGAAAAAAGGCATTTTATCCATCTCAAAAACCTTTTCTCTGAAACACATCAAAGGATTGCTGCAGGAGACTTAACAAAGTTGGCAAAAAACTCTCGGAACTAGAAATGCTGGGTATCTACATATATAGGTACCTGTCGGTTCACTTATAAAGTCACTTATATTTAGAAACTTCTGAAAACTTAATTGCTCTCTGTGGCAAAGTGGGAACTCCCCAACCAGCCACAGTGCTAGTCTCCCACC